AAAGAAGACACACAGATGGCGAATAAGCCCATAAAAATATATTCAACATCATTAGCCACTAAGGAAATGCAAATTAAAACTGTGATAAGCCATCACTTACACGCCCATTGTAATGACTCAAATAAGAAGACCCACAGCAGCAGCAGGCCCCGGCAGAGATGAGAGTCTCCCAGAACCCAGAGGCCTGCTTGTCGGGGATGCGACATGGTCAACTCGGGCTGGGTGAAGCTCAGTGGTAGAGCTCTTGCCCAGCATGCTGCATCCAATCCCTGAGCCCTGGGAGAAAAAGAAAAGTGTGTGTGTGTGTGTTGGGGGGGGTAGAGGCATCTGGAAGATGGTCTGTAGATTCCCTATAGAGCTCAACCCACCAGCGGGCTCAGCCCCAGGTGCCCCCCCCCAGCAGGGATCCTCAGCCTGAGCACCACGGATACTTGGGGCCAGATCCTTGATCGCCCTGGGGCTGTCCTCTGRGTCTAAGGTGTAGAGCTGCCTCCCCGACCTCTACCCTCTAGAGCCAGCAGCACCCCCACCTTGTGACAGTCAAAAATGCTTTGAGGGCTTGCCAGCTGCTTCCGGGGGGCCAACTGCCTCCTATTGAGAACATTGCCCTGGAAAAATGAAAACTTTGGTTCTCATAAAAGCCTTTGCACAAATATCTAGAGCAGCTCTATTCACAGTCACCCAAACCTGGGAAAAACCCCAATGTCCTTCAGTGAATGAACGCATGCACAAACCCTGGCAGGCCCAGACGGCAGACACCACGCAGTAACAGAGCAATGAACTTCGGGCACCCAGACGCTGGGACGACTCTTACAGGCGGGATTCCCAAGGGGGAACCTGTCAAAAGGTTAGATGCTGCATAATTTTGTTTCTGTGACATTCTCAAAACAAACAAACAAACAAACAAACAAAACTACAGTAATAGCACATCCAGGGGTGCAGCGGGGGCTAAGGGTGGCTCCCCAATGGAGCTGCTTGAGAGAGGAGTTGGCAGTGGAACTGTTCTGTACCCTGACTGGGGTGGTGGTTCTGTGAATAAACACACACACACACACCACACACACACACACACACAGTTTTATTATTATGTTATTCAGAGTTCTGTTACTATCACAAAGTACCTGAGAAAATGAACTAAAAAGAGAAAATGTTTGTTTTGGCTCACAGTATGAGATTTAAGTCTGAGATCTGGCCCTGTCTACACCTCCCAGTAGCCCAGGGACTGTGACCACACCATGTACACAGGGGCTTTGGGGACATTCAAGATTCCAGTGATAGCACTATGTGTTAATTCTAAAACTAAAATAAGAACAAGGAAGGGGAGGCTGGATTRAGAAGAACACGTGTTTTTCCTGCCCATCTTTTCCTTCCTTTTCCTTSTTTAAAGGGTGACTTCTGGCGAAGGGCTCAGTGTTCAGCCCTTAGAAGAGGTGGAGAAGAGGGAGGAGAAGTCCTCGTCACTCACTAGCCTTTCCCCCTCCTTTGCCCGTTTCTGGGTGATGGTAACCTCCAGAGGAAACAAACATTTGAATATGTAAGTGGAAGGAGGGTGAGAAAATTCAGAATGGGGTTTCCACATTCACCACCCTCCCCTGCTGGCTGGGCTGGCCAGGTTCCCAGGTCGCTGAGAGCCAGCTCTGGGGTAGGAAGGAAAAGCTAGAGAAGGAATCCGAGAAGGGAAGGAGAGAAGAACCTGGGCAGGTGGGCGATGCAAAACAAATGCTGGAGTAAACGCAATTTTTTTTTTTTTGTACAAGAGTTGTAAGCAGCCAGCAAGCCACAGTAGAGAAGGAAACTTGGTSTGTTTGAACACTGTTTTCTTAGCCTTTAGGTCATTTAACCCCCAGAGCTGGGTTCTATGATTGTTCTATTTTATCAATGAAGCAACTGAAAGTCAGTCTCAGCCCATTCAGGCTGCTATAACAAGATCTGTTAGAACAGGGAATTTATAGGTTACAAAAGTGCATTACCCACAGTTCTGGAGGCTAGGAAGTCCCAGGTCAGGATCCTAGCAGATCTGGTGTTGGGGGAGAGCTCACTATCTGCTTCAAAGATGACGTCTTCTTTCTGAGTCCTCATGTGGCAGAAGGGGTGGACAAGTTCCCCTTTGGCCTCTTTAAAAAGGCACTAGTCACCTCTTAAAGCCCTACCTTTCAATACTCTCACATGGGGGATTAAATTTCAGTACATGAATTTTGGGGGACACAAACATACACACCTCAGCATGGACTAATAAGCAACCTSATGCAGAGGACTCAGAATTTGATGCCACCCACTGACAGTTGGTCTAGGCCAGTATACACCGTGGTCTGGATGATGTTCTGGGTGGACATGGGGACATAGTGACTGCAGCCCTCAGGACTCTCCTGAATGAGGGAGAAAAGGGCACATGATAGGGATCTCAAAAGCTGGACTCCAGTCCTGGCTCTACCACTTGCTGTGTGATTTCCAAGAAGTCACTTTGCTCCTCTGAACCTCCATTTCTTCATTTGGAAACACCAGACTGTCCTGAGGATTGAATGGGGCAGCACAAATGGAAATATTTATAAAATATGACAGATGGTGTGAACATAAAGTGGAACGAATGCTCTCCCCCCTCCACCACTTCATTCTGTCCTGGAACTTGCTCATTTTCAAATACTGGGGGTCAAACTGGCTCACACCTGTCATCCTAGCTACTCAGGAGGCTGATGCAGGACAGTTACAAGTTTGAAGCCAGCCTGGGCATGGTGCCAAGATCCTGTCTCAAAATAAAAAATTGAAAAGGGCCAAGGAGATAGCTGAGTAGTAATGTGCCTGGGGGGTTCRATCCCTAGGACCCCTAAATATATGAATAAATAAACAAATGCAAGCAAACATAACAGAAATATTATTTTCATTAAGGAGCTGGGGGTCACATATTTTAAATTGCATTTATTGTTTCAGTAGGTAACCTGTTCACACAGCTCAAAAATTTCAAGTTACAAAAATCTGTATCAAAAACGCTCCTCTAGGGTCTGGGGTTGTGGCTCAGCAGTAGAGTGCTGGCCAGGCATAAGGGAGGCCCTGGGTTTCAATCCTCAGCGCCACATAAAAATAAATAAATTTGGGCTGGGGAGAACTAGAAAATGAATATTAAAAATTCTCTCTCTCTCTCCCCTTCTCCCTCTCTCTTATAAATAAATAAATAAATAAATAAATAAATAAATAAATAAATAACAAAAAACAATAACCAAAACAACCCCCGCCTCCTCTAGGGCCAATGCGGCCAGTTTCCTGGGGGTGCATTCAGAGACACACCTCCCCACGCACAGCTGGGAGCATGGCGCAACGCTGCTCCTTGGCCCGCCCAGCGGTAGGTGCCCCTTGGTCTGCTTTTCGAGACCTGAATCCAGCGAGCCCCCTACGACCCGAGCCCCCCACAACCCGTTCTGCTCCTGGACTTCGTATCTAAGGCCAGGTCCCGTACCCATGCCGCCCTGGCTCTGGTTCTTTGCTCCACCCAGGCGCATGGCCCAAGTGTGGACCCCGTCCGGTGGAGGGCACCTGCAGCCCTTCATCAGGTATACACGCCCAGCTCGGCCATTTCASAAAGGCACCCACGTAGCTGGATGTGGCCTTTCTAGAAGTGGGTTTGCTGGGTCAAAGTCTGTGTCCTTGGTGGGCACTGCTGGGTGGCCTCCGCAGAGGACGGATCAGCTTACAGCGCTGTGGCGGAGCCGAGCGTCTCTTCCCGCCGGTGCCAACTGGGCGCATCACCAGCCTTCCTCTTTGCCAAGTGGCTCGGTGGACAATGGGGTGTGGTGTGGCTTCGGTGCACTTCTCCTACCCTCAGTGAGGCTGAGCATCTTTTCGGTGCTCACCCCTGCGATTGCCCCTGTTCCTCTCCACACACAACCCACGGCCAAGGCGGCGCTGCGTGGTGTTTCTGTCCTSGGCTTCTAGCTGAGTCACTCCCAAGAGGGAAAGGGCAGCGGGCTCAGGTTATTTCTGCCCCTGAAGCCATCCGAGCTGCCAGTCCTGGGAAGACCTTGGGCTCTGGTATTTCCTGTGGCCCAGCACTCTGGACTTTGCACCTGTCAAGCTGGGGCTTCTCCCTGGGAGGGATGGGGCTTGCAGGTATGGATCAGTTCTGATATGTTTGCAAACTGGTCAAGGAAAGAACCCAGGGCAGGGGGCTGGGGATGTGGCTCAGGCGGTAGTGTGCTTGCCTGGCATGCTCAGGGCACTGGGTTCAATCCTCAACCACCGAAAGCTGAAAAATAAATATTAAAAAATTCCTCTCTCGAAAGAAAGAAAGAAAGAAAGAAAAGAACCCCAGGACCGATTGGGAGAGGGGACAGTTGGAAGGAATTCATACCAAGGTCCTCAATTTTTGATGGAGGGTTGAAGCCGGGGCACTCTACCACTGAGCCACATCCCCAGCCCTTTTTAYATTGTTTTATTAAGTTGCTGGGGCTGACCTCGAACTTGGAATCCTCCTGCCTCAGTCTCCCAAGTAGCTGGGATTGTAGGCTTGGGCCACCAAGCTGCTTTAAGTGACAAAATCACAGGAACCAGGCTGAGTGTAGAGAAGGGAAATGAGTTGGTGGATAGGACAGSGGGTGGAGGAGAGCGAGCCACAGGGAGGGGATGGGAAAGAGGAAATGTTCTCCCTGGAGACACACAAGATGCAGCTCACAGCACCCACRCCAGGCAGGCCCCAAACCTCTGCAAGATTATTGCTAAGGGCAGCCTGGAGTCAAAACTACAGATGCCCTTTTGCTGAGCATAAAGAATTCAGGCCATCACGTGACCAGACCAGTTAAAGGTCTGGAGAATCCCTGTTGGCCACTGACCCTCCCTGAGTGGGGGTTCTCAGCATCCTTGGAGACGCACAGGTCAGGCTATTGTAACTTGACTTCCTTGCAGGGCCCTGTGTGGCTGGCTGAATCTAGCTCACAGAAGGACAGGAGGAGCCAGTGGCTGGATTCCTGGGCCCCTGGGGAGTCTGCAGCCTGTTATTTCCTGATTCAAACAAACAGCAGATTTGTTCTGGAAGTTGCTGAGGCAGAATCCTTCTGGAGCCCCTTGAAGGATGGGCCTTGTCATTTTATAACCTCCAGGGTATCTGATCCCATAAAGGAGCCGGCCTCTGTGTCTTGGAGCTGCAGCAGAAACCCCAGAGAGCACAGGCTTGCTCTGGGCTCAGCTACCATCCTCTCCTCTCTCCTCGGCTGAAACCTACCATCCAGGGCCACACTTCAGGGCTGGGACTGTAGTTCAGTGGTAATGCACTCGCCTAGCGTATGTGAGGCCCTGGGTTCCGTCCCCAGCACTGCAAAACAACAACAGGTTAATCTGAATAGAGCCAAACTTCAGAAATAGATAGCTCCTTTGTATCTTGAGCCCCCCTGTGGTCCATTCTGGGGCTCCCCATGGGAGAAGTAGCCTGGGTGGCAGGTTGGAAGGGCCTGGCTGCCTTTCTGCAGCGCGATCTTCTGTGTCTTCTTAAAGCCCCAGTATGAAGCCAAGTTTTCAAGAGCAGGGATCATGGATGCCTTCCTCCTCTGCTCGTCAGCCTCCCTGGGGGGAAAGTACAACAAGCTGAGGTTGTCCCTGAGGCCACCAAGAAAWGCTTAATTGCTTTCTGAGAGAATTGTCCCCCACCCCCTTCTGGTTCCCATCCCCCTCTCCACTGCTCCCTCTACCTCTTCCCCAACCTCTGGAGGCTCTTGCTCAGGGAGTTGGAGCTGAAGACACAAACTCCCTGGCTGCGTCCCAAGTCACCGAGAGCCATGTGCGGAAGAGCAGCTTGCCTCTCCAAATATACTGCACCACCTTTGCTGAAAAAAGAATCCTATGTTTGGGGGAATAAATGTGCATTTTACTGGGAGCCAGGCACTCATCGGCAGCAGATGGATGGTGGCCCAGGCCGGCGGAGTGGGCCAGACTTCAGAGCCAGCCGACGGTGTGAAGCCAGGCAGGGGTGGGAGCCATCCAAGGGAGGTGAGTACAGGGAGAGCTGCAGCTTTTCATCCGGGAGCTTTGTCAGCATCTTGTGCAACTTGATTTAGGGGGAAGGCCGAGCAGAGGGATGTGCCTCGTGAAGAGGAGTAGGCGAACAGGCACCCCAAGCGGGCTCCCAAATAGATCATGGTTCAAATGCCTTAGGAATTTCTCTTACATAACAGATGGAGATGGGTGTTCTCTGATTGGCCAGTGGCTTTCCTCCACTTGGTGATTCAGGGAGCCAGGCTCTTCTCATCTCAGGGCTCTTTCATTCCCTAGAGTCTCACTGCCACCTGCATCCAGCTGGTAGAAGAGGAAGGCAAGTGTGCAAGAAGCCAACTTGCTTCTTAGGGCCTGGACTCAGAAGAGTTGAACTCTCTTCTGTTCATATTTTATTGGTGGGGGCTTGTCACATGACCATACCTTAGTGCAAGGGCAGCTGGGAAACGTAGTCTTTGTTCCTTAGTGACTATGCTAGAAGGAGTGGGGATTTTGGTAGACAACCATCTCAGTCACGGGATGAAATCAAGGCATTTAGATCAGGGAACCAAGGGAGAGCAACTCATTCTGAGACTTAAGGGACTAGGTGGAAGAGCAGTCTGAGTCTTAAATTAGGAAGTCCTCCCTAAACAACTTGCTAGAAAGAGTTTTGCTTTTGCTCAGGACTGGAGGATCCGACAGCAACAGAACTGGGCAGAACCCCAGGGGAAAGTTATAAGTCCTTGCTTAGCATCTGGACGGCCATCTTAAGTGACAGCCCCCATTCTAAGGGAAAAGTTTCGCTTTCCCACCCAAGGGCCTTTCTGAGAAAGGCTMACCACTCCCTCATCACAACCCCACCCTTAACCACCCTGCATTAGGACCCGCCTGGCTCTGATTCCTGAGCCTCTCCCATAAAAGTCCCAGAACTGAAGCCTCTATAGAGAGAGGGCCTTTATTTGTCAGCTCTGAAAAATAAACTCTGTGTGTATCTCTGCCTGGTCTCCGTCTCTCGTTCCTCGCTTTCCCTTCAGTGGCCACCTATGGATGGTGTGTTGTTAAGCTTGAATTCTATGTTATGCTCGAATTCTGGACCCCCAAAAGACCACCAGAGACCAACATCGATGTAAACACAAAGAGGTGTTTATTGCGAGCTATCTTGGTCCTCGGTGCGCAC